TTGTTTTCCTGTTGCTATTGCCATGTCCTTGCCTTTAGTGCTTTGTAATGTCTTAACATTTGACACATCACTTGGATTTTCCGACCCACATCGATATTGACGCACCCCCGCTCCCTGCGCCCAGGATGTGCTCGTTAGTTAGGGTTTCTAATAAATTTGTGCAACACATTTCTATTCCTTTTCCTTGCCCTCTCTCCCTGTCTCTCTCTCTCTCTCTCTCGCACACTCTCACCCTTCCCGAGCTCTGTCGTCGCTTGTAACATTTTTATTTGATAACATATTGCATTTGGCCTTCGTCTCTCGAGCCCTCGAATCGCATTGGGTGAGTGGCTCCCTCGGCAGCTACTAAAATATTGGATGTTTCGGACTCTGCACATGGTGCTCAACGCTTCCACAACCCACATTCACAGCCACAGCCACATCCGTATCCGCGTCCGCGTCCGCGTCCGCGTCCGTCTGCGGCTCAACTGGCCGTTGATTTATGGCGTCTGTGTTGGTCATTCAACTGCATTTGATTTAGGTTGTAAATTGTTGTATATTGTGGCCATGTCTGCGTTTCCTGTTCGCCTCGACTTGTTTTCTTTTCTCTGCGATTGCTGCTGCTGTTGTTGCTGTTGCTGTTGCTGTTGTTGTTGTTGTTGTTTTTCTTTATCACTTTGAAATTTTTCGCTAATGAATTTATCGTATTTCAGCTGTTCTTGGCAAAGTTGCAAATAGTCCAGAGTGGATTGATTTACAGTGGTATCAATATCAATTACAACGCCACATATGTTTGTGCTTATAATGGGCGCGATTATGTGCTTGATATATGTATGTACATATATAATGAAAGATTATGCATATAGGAAATACAGTTTAGAATTTACTATGCTTTAATAGTTGAGTTATGTAGTGAATAGACTGGCTAAGAGAATAGATTTAATATAAATATTTTATTATGAGATTAAAGAAGAATCATCTATAAATTTGGGAGAGGAAACAAAAACAGATGAGATGAAATACAAATGTTTTTTATACAAGATATATTGAATTGATCCGACAAAACATGAATGCTATCTGATCAAAGAGTTCACATTAGGACGGACAGTTAGACGGACGGATGCATGCACATTAACTCCTCGTCTATTGATACTGATCAAGGTGATATACATTGGGCGACACGAACACAGTTTGTCTTCTCTCATAATTCATTGGCAAAGCAGAGCTTTGGCCATAAGCCCGGTGCATGAGTAGCCCATGGCTGAGACTCGCTTGGCGTGTCGAGGTCATAAACCATGCGGACAAAGTGCCAGAAGGAAGAAATCTAGGAGAAGGAAACAGCAACAAGAAAAGAGGGAGGAAATAGAGAAAACAATCGAATGCACATTGTGTCATGTCATTGCCAAATAATATTTCACACGTAAAGCTAGCCAAACAGTTCGAATGACGAGGGCGAAACGAAAACCCACAGAAATGCGGAAAAATAAGAAATATTACGCGCACAGCGGACACTGAGGAGGCGGTGGATGTGAATCAGGGAGGGAGTGAGGGAGCGGAACAAATGCTCGCTGTACGTAGCAAGGGGCAGAGAAAGACGGAAAATCTACAATATATTGCCAACTATTATGTTATTGTGTGAACGTGCACTGATTTCGCCAGCCAGGCTTTGTCCACGTGCAATATTTCTCGGTTCCGGGCGAGGATTTGGCCGGAGTCCGGTTGCTGTTGCCGGGTGCTAATGCCGAACGATGTGGACGCTGCTGCGGAGCTGCTCAGCGTCTTATCGAGGCGTATAACATATATCATTGACACTTTGACATTGGCGAGCAACTGGGGACTCCAAGTGTGGGCCATGACCGACCGGATTTTAGTACTTTTCAAAATGGCACTTAATCATGGCAGCCGCCTGGCACAGGAAAATGCGGAAACTGGCACACACACCACGCGTAATCGCATGTGTTCACGCTTGAAAGGATAACGACGACGACGAGGACGAGGAAGAGGACGAGGAAGAGGGCAAGGACGACGGACGCTTGCTGCCGAGCTGCGAGGACTGTGTGTGTGTGTGTGTGTGTGGACTGGCCTCCTGCCGTCGGACGACCAAAACGAAATAAGATTAATGACTTGGCAGCGAACAAACGGAGCTGTACTCTGCATGAAGACGGCGCAAAAAGGACATGCTGCCTGGCATTGGATAAATTGTTTGCTACTTGGACTGTCATTAGTCGAAAAGTTTGTTTGTTATTGTGTTAAGTGTTATTTGTGCGCATATCCAAGTGTCAGGCTGCCAAGCTGTCAGACCCCTCTACCACCATCTCCCTCTCTCTCTCTCTCTGCGCTTTAGCTACTCTGTATATCGTTTATCACTTTCGTTTTGGACACAGCCCAGAAATTCGCATGTCATGTTTGGCGTCTATGATGACGCCTGAATCTAGCGCAAGCCAAACAAAAAATTGCCAATGACCACAAAATTTGTGAAATTAACAGACAAAGACCGGAACGGACTAGCGGATAGGGCAGCCTGAGGAAGGTAGAGGCTGAGATAGAGACTGTGGTAGAGACTAAGGGAGAGGCTGAGGTAGAGACTGAGATAGACCCTGTGCATACGTTTCGTGTCCTTTATTTGTGCATCTAATGGTAGCAACGTGACTTGGCGAGTTCCTGTGACTTGGAGTAGAGCCATGGACTGGTGTTTGCTAAGCCTATTAGGGCATGGGAATAATATGAAATGCGGCATTAAAAACAACTCAAAGGAACGGAAATAAACTTCATTTATCAAAGGCACTGCAATAGTCAGCTATTTACTCGGGCTCTAGCAAATGTGTGAATTGTTTTAGCTCAGCTGCGGCTGAGCTGGGCCAAGGCATGCCAAACACTCAGTTGAGTCTATTTACAGCTCTATCAAGCCAATCAAAGATCAATCACAATCAAACGAAATTTACCGAAATCGATGAGTAAATTCCGCATTACTTCCAGGAAATCCACAATGCGCCGAATATAAATGTTAGGTGAGATAATGCACACAGCACACAGTGCTCGAGCTCTTACTCAACGATGAATATTTGGGCGAACTGTTCACGATAGATTTGTGTGTGCTGGGGCTCGCCTGGCCCACCGAGTCATCCATCAAATGCGATTTCAGATGCTGGCAACAATTATTTCGTCTATTTTATTTTTAAACCGAATTAACGTGGCTGTTCCTGAATGTGCTCGGGGCTTGTTATTGTTGTTGATGCTAATGTGTTTTTATTACGTGAAAATTAAATGAAAAGAACACGCATGCCAGTTCTCAAGATCATTTTTATGGCCGAGCCCGGGCCGGGCCCAGAACTAAACCCAAACCCTATCTCTGACAGGCTCCTGCTGCGCCGCGTCGCAAAGTAGTAGGCGCTGATTGATAGAACAAAGTAAAAATCAAATAAAAAACAAAACATTCAACTATGCACGGCCTCTGCCATATTGCGGTGCCAGATCAAAGACCGCCCCGAGATCTGTAATGACAGCTTTGATCATTGTTTTGCCTTTGATTTTTTCCGGTTTGCTGCCCGTTGCCGATGCCTATGCCGATGTAGAGCGCCCCGGGCCGGTTGCCGATGTTGTTGCCGATGTCGAGGCCGAGGCCCGTATTCACATTTAGTACTCGCATTGGTAGCATTTTACGAGCTATTTCGCGCCTACTTAAGAGATCTTTCTGCTCGGCTCATTACGGTGCTCTGGCGAGTGGGCATTATAACACCTTGTTTTATGACTGTGTCATTTTGCTAGAAGGTCGAATCTCACATGCGAACATTGTCATATAACAGAACAGATCTTTGTTCGTTATACTGCTTACACGTGTTTCTATAGTCAATGTTAGATTACTCTAATAATATAGGAAAAATGTAAATAAAATAAATGAATAAAAAATATGATAAATAGCGTAAAATATTATTTGATAATATTGCAATATATAAAATATTATATTACCAACGTAATTCTAAAACAGAGCCTCTATACTTATTCTTCAATTTAAAAGAGATATAAAATATATGCAAAATTTCAGCAATTGCTTAATTTAGTTGTTACAGTAATCCATATGCTTTGCGTGCGATCTAAACGGTTAACACGTGTGAAATGTTTCTGAATAATAATATAATTTAGAGCATATATATTATAATAATTTATAATATTACTATAAGTTGTTCCAGAGGCGAAATACGTGACTCAATAGAATATCAACTGAAGGCCAATTCTTACCAATTGGTTGCCAAAAATAAGTGATTTCATACCCCTCTCTTAAAATATTCTAGTAACTAATAATATTTTGGGAAAATATATTAAAGGAATCCATACATCTTCTTATTGCATCATAACTATCGATGCAATGCGAAAGAGTATTTTTAGACCATCTATATATCTATCATGTGCCTTATATACATATATATATGTATTTCTTAAATTTATTTCCATTTATCCTATTTATAAATCTATCCTTGTAATGTACTTTTATTTACTTAAAAAATAAAACTTTAAATAAACTGGTTATACTTATATCCATCCATCTTTCTATCTAATCTGTGTATCTATCTTTCTTTCAATTATTTATATTCCATGTTTATATATTTATACTTGAACTCATCTGGATTTATGGATTTAGTTATCTACCATTCTGACCATAATGAATCTAGACAACCGTCATTTATTTTCTGTCAACTCTTCCATAACAAAGATTCAGTTTCTATGTCTTCGAAGTGTGACAAATGCGATACAATAAAGATATAAGAAATCGACTAACTAAATACTCTGGATCTTGCTAATGGAAGAACCAATCAAGTGACATGCGTCTAGTGGAATCTTGATATGCAAATTGAATTCATACATCAATATGTACTTAAGAATAGCCGATTGTATCAGTCGATCTAAAGATAATTCTTTGAGTCCTTCACTAAGCTCCGATTGATTTCAGTTTGGTTAATGGCCGAAGAGCATTTTCAGAGATCCATAAATACATCAGCCTATAAGTAAAATATTTCCCGAAGCATGATGGGGTAGCCTCTGTTTCGGTAAAGCTGTCCAATTATCAAGACTTTTCGACTTCTCAATCTTATTTATTTTATGATGATGGTATTTGTGGGAAATTTTCTATTTGTGTAGCCAGATAATCAGTGCAAACACCACAAAAATGTCAAGAGGGATTGAGCAGAGAAAACAGCTGCAAATTTCCCAAATTTCTTTTCGGGGCCCACCACAAAATTTGTCCACGCCGCCTCGAACAATTTATGACATTTTAAAACCCCTTTCGAGTTCTACAGCGGCGAGCTACGCGCGACGGCTACCAAATTAGAAAAGACAAACACTTTTCAAATAAAAATCACGTAAACTGTCGCCTCGATTTCAAATGAATCGACTCGAGCGCATTCGGAATATTTGGAATTTGGACTTAGGCACGATTCTCTGGCCCCGCAACACCATCATAAATTATGGTAGCTGCACTCTATTCCGGGAACCCTTTCACTGGACGGACGAGCATCAATTTATATTTTGTTGCTGGCGCAACATAAATTCTGGAAACCACAAAATCAAAATTTATGTAACCTTCGCAGAAGAGCATAGAAGACAATGATGATGATGATGAAGCTACCGTTGCGCGGGATGAGGCCGGCTAGATTTGAACAAATAGTGGGTGCTTCTGTTGTTAACATGGCTAATAAATCAGAGATCGTGAGCCAAGTCTGGTTCCCTCGTCTCCCCAGCTGCTCCATCCCATTTTCAGAAATCCGTTACCCTGCCCTTGCTCTCCCAGTCCCCGTAGCGCGTGGGCTCCGGCCCGGGCGGTCCCCCAATCTCACCCGTATGCGGATTGGTGTTGTTGGGCCAGCGCTTCAGTGGCTCCTTCTCGTGTGCCGGATGCGGCATAGTCTTCGGCAGGTTAGTTAGGGGTACTTCCGATAGCAGTTTCTCCTTGAACTTCAAGTATCGCTCGCTCGGCTCGGCTTTTGCTCGTTTTTTCTGCTCCCCATCGACCTCTTTTTGTTCACGAAGAGCTTTGGGTATTACGGAGCTGGCGCTGAAGAAACGAACTGGTACTCTCAGAAGACAGCTTGAACGAGCAATACATCGAAACATTTCGAATCGGGACGAAGTATCGGTAGAAATCTTAAATTTTGAAAACTTTTGTGTGGTGTATATTTATTTATTTCCGTATATTTATATGTCAGTATTTTTTTGTTGTTATCTGATTTGCTGAAATGTCAGTTTTATATCTTGAAACTAAATAGTAGAAGACATGGCTAACTCAATTCATCATTAGATATAGATATAGAGCTAACCAATATATATGCAATGCATAAATAATACACAAATACGTATATAAATTTTAGACATAGATGTATAATCCATTTTTAAGACGTATATCCTTGTGAAATATTTTTATTTTAATTTTTGTGTATATATATATATTTTTTAAAATTTAATTTCTGTTTTATTTTCAATCGGTTGTAATATAAAACTTTAATATTTAATTAAAACAATATTTTTTTTTTTTCTTTTTTACTTGTCAATAAAAATATTATCATTTATTCCGGTAATATTAGATTTATATTTAGTCAAAACAAAACCCATTTACTTTATTACATATAATTCAATAAAAAGTTATTTAATTTATCATATCATATATTTTTTAATATTTAGATATTTGTGCTTGATTGCAAAATAATAGGAAGTAGTAAAACCTGCCAACACTCAAGCTCTACTCATATATATATTGTAGTTCTCTTCAAAATTCGATCAAATAATTGCATTCATTATTTGTCCAGCACCAAAGAGAGGAGAAAGTTTTCTATGCTATATCTAAAAACTTGTTTCTTAGATCCTCCCTCTCCCTCCTCTCCATCGATCGCTGTGCCTAACTAACTAAAAATGATCTCTCTTGCCACACGTTTAACATTTGGTAATTGAGCATTCGCCATGCATGGCGTATCGCTAACAAAATTAGTTGAACGCGTCATGGCTGCGCCATTGTGTTGCATCTGTTTGACATGATGTACTCGAACAGCTTGTCCAAACAGTTTGACGTGAGCCTAGTTGACAGGAGAGATCAAGTGTCTGAGCTCAAAGCTCGACTAACTACTGCTGCAGAGCTGACTGGCAGACAAACTGACAAACTGACAAACTGACAGAGTGACAGACGGACAGAGTGACAGAGTCTAATGACTTTGCAGCGAGTAGTGAGAGCAACGGTTGCGATAAAGATAAGCTACGAGTAGTTATTTCAACTTCCGGAAATGAGTAGCTAGTTGGCAGTTAGCTAAACAGCTAGATGGAGAGTCGGCCTGTCTGTCTGTCTGTCTGTCTGCCTGTCCAGCTGTCAGGCTGTCAGCTGGGGCCGTTAGCTGATTCATTCATTGATGGCAGCAATTAAAACTGGACATGTGTTGCTGCAACCTGGCCTCGAGATAGCGAAGCCTGCTCTGATCGTGTCAAGCGGACAACCATTCAACATAAGTCGCTTCGCGCCCGTCTCTGAGGCAACGCCTCACAGAGTCGGAGTTGGTGCTGCAGGCGGTGGAACTTCAAAGCATTTTAAATATGGCTTGTGCAAATTCCAAACTGAGACAGCGAGAGAGAGAGAGAGAGAGAGAAAGAGCGGGAGAGAGAGAGGGAGGCAGAGAGTGGAGCAGAGAGTGGGAGCTGGAGTGCAAGTGTCTGTCACGCTGGCGCAAAGTCACAGCGACATTGCAAATTTGTTCTGCCATCCAACAGCCCACTCGGAATCAGAGGAGCTGCCTCTGCTGGCATCTTTTATTATGTGCTCTGGGCTTGGCCTCTGTTTTTTATTTTTATACCCTGAACCCATTGAAAATGGGAAATCAGGGTATAATGGTTTTGTTGAAATGTATGTAACAGGCAGAAGGAGGCGTGGCAGACCCCACAAAGTATATATATTCTTGATCAGGGTGACGAGCTGAGTTGATTTGGCCCTGTCCGTCTGTCTGTCTGTCCGTCTGTCCGTCTGTCCGTCTGTCCGTCTGTCCGTATGTTTGAACGCGTCGATTTCCGAAGATATAAGAGCTAGAGACTTCAAATTTTTTGTAAAATGTTCGTAATTACAGCGCGGATATCGAGTTTATCATTAAAATTCGATAACTCATCCCGATCTTTTTTTATCGATGAAAAACCTTATCGAAAACCAGTTATAAAATTATATCTTCTACACCTTTATTGCTAGAGTCTCCAAATTTTTAATGTATGCTTATATGCAATTTATACAATTTCGGTTTTTGTTAAAATTTACCCCCCACCTCTAAATTCACCCCCTCACCCTCACTTTTGTAAAACGCGTATTTCAAATACTAGAGACTTGTGCTTTGGCAATTACATGCATATTCATGTTATAATCATAATCTGAAAGTTTCATGAAGATCGTACGTCCACAAAAAAAGTTATTAAACAATTAAGTTCTCATAGTAAGCGCACACTGCAGCCCATGCGTGTTTATGCGTGGGTGCTTGTATGTGTATGTGTTTGTGTATGTGTGTGTGTTTCTTGTGTAAGCTGAAAGACGCGAAAAATTATTGAAATAGCTAGCACTCCAAGGGTTCAGGGGATCTCGTAGTCGAGCAGTCTCGACTAGAGCTTTCTTACTTGTTTCTGCTTTTTTTTTTGGTTTGGCTTGCCCCGTTTTGCAGTGCTTTCTTGGGGCAACATTAAAAGTTGCCGGCTGTCAAGATTCGCATGCGTTTGCATCGTTCTCCTTGTTGACTGCAAACTTTCTTTCTTTTCAAGCCCCCGCCACAGCATGCGAGTTGCAATTGGAGTTGGCTTCGGAGTTGGAGCTGCTGGCTGAGATTGAGGTTGTTAATTCGCCTCTGTCCCGCTCAGTGTGTCAGCTGCGTCTCCCATTGCTGCGCGCGGCAAAATTGAAATTGTTGCCTTAACGTTGGCATGACAATAATCTCGCAAATCTGTTTAAATTAAGCGAGACAAATGTTTCTTTTGCCCATGCACTCTGCTGGCAGGCCAATCAGGCCATCAGACGAACAGCTTTTTGCCGTCCTCTGCGCCTCAGCAGCCATGTCCACATGTGTCATAGTATTTATCTTGAGTATTTGATGCCGGCCTGACAATTTCATCTCGTAGTAAATTCGAGAAAATTTTGCGCAGTTTTGTTTTGATGTGAAACTCTTGCCAAAGTATTTCAGCACTCAATTTTATATCTTAAGAAAGCGCATTGGCGTTTGCATTTGTTTGGGTGAGATTATTTAGATTTCTGAAAAGTAAGTGGAAAATTATTATTTACAAGTATTTTCTATATAAATATAAAAGCTCAGTGCAACTATAAACTGAGTGCTGATAATATAATATATTAGAACAATTATTAAGCCAATTTATTCCTTATACTGAATGTATTTCAGCTTTAATTCAGCTTTCATATTTATTTGAATAATTATATTAACATATCATTATTTATATGGTATAATATTGCATTCCAAGAGCGCGTTTGATCTCGTATCTCGAATTTAGAGAAACATATTTTAATCAGATAATTGATCATCTTAATAAGAGTAAATATTTTAGACAAATTAAAGAAATCTTACAGAGGTACAGAAAACTAATTATCATTTTAATTAACACCCTCAAGTAAACTCCCATTATATAAAATAGTTGGAAATAAATTATCAATGTATTTAATACTTTTTTTTTAATGAAATAAATATTAAATTAATTACTATTTTAATAAATAGACTCAACTATTACATACTAAGTAATACAGATAAAAAGAAAACATATTCCCATTATATTAAATACTCTAAAATATTAATATTATCTATGAAAATACACAAAATACCTTATCAGTTTATTATAAATTTAAAAAT